TGGAACCGAGCCCCACCCCGGCAAGCCACGAAGGGGGGGGGGGGGATGCTGGCATGGGGGATGGAGCCAATAAGGGGCTGAGGATAAAAGAGGGAGAAGGAAAGGAGAGCGGAGGATGAGACCTGTCGGGTAGACAGGTGAACAAGCATCAGCAGGAGGCCAGCCGGGAGGAAGTGACCTCGGGTAGGGCTGAGTGGACGCCCAAGGGTTGGTGCATTTACCCCCCACCAACCGAGATGGGGAGGATTCTCCGTCCTTGGGGCGAGCCAATAAGGGGCTGAGGATAAAAGAGGGAGAAGGAAAGGAGAGCGGAGGATGAGACCTGTCGGGTAGACAGGTGAACAAGCATCAGCAGGAGGCCAGCCGGGAGGAAGTGACCTCGGGTAGGGCTGAGTGGACGCCCAAGGGTTGGTGCATTTACCCCCCACCAACCGAGATGGGGAGGATTCTCCGTCCTTGGGGCCCTGGGTCGGGACCTGGAGAGAGGGCGGGCCCAGGTCCCCCTCCCGCAGCCGGGGAGCTGAGCCGACCGTGTTTCACACAGCAGTGCAAAGCAATCGGGGGAGGTCACCCAGGTCGCGCCAGGTGGGCGTGAATAAACGCGTAATTACTAAAAACTGTGCCGAGGGCCATGTGGTATTTATGCGAACGGTCACACTTGGTGGAGAATGTGGGCAGTGATCTAAAGGTGTAAAGTAGGGAACTGAAAAGGAATTTAAAAAAAAACAAGAAAAGAAAAAAAAAACCCAGAGGATTTGTTTTTTGTTGGGACTTCTTCTCTGTCTAAGGATTCATCATGGAGATGAACAAGCTACTGGAATGGCTCTCTGAAAGCCAGCAGCAACAGCAGCATCATCAAACCCAGCTGGTATAACAGCTTGCCGCACAATATCAAGAACAACAGAGGCAGCTGCTCCGCGAACTGTCTGACCTGACGACAGCCGGAGGAAGGTCTGGCCCAGGCCTCCTAAGGGAAGGTGAGGAGGAGGGTGGGGCTGGATCCCAACTACCCATATGTCTGGCCAAAATGGGACTGGAGGATGAGCTGGAGGCGTTCTTAGTAACGTTTGAGCGGGTGGCTCTGGCGGCCAAATAGCTGGAAGAGCACTGGGCCACACTCCTCACACCCAATTTATCAGGCGAAGCACAGTTGGCATATCGTAGCCTATCCACATGAGATGCCCTCCACTACTCTAAAGTGAAAGAGGTGATACTCGATCAACTGGGAGTCACCCAAGGCCTATAGACAGCGCTTCTGCCAGGAGAAGTATGCTTCTGGGAAAAGACTGAGGGTGGTGGCCCAAAGATTGAGAGAGGTGGCGATGGCTGGAGCCCGATCAAAAATTGGGGGCTCAGGTCACCGAAACAGTAGTGTTGGAGCAGTTTTTGAAGATCCTTCCAGCTGAAGGACAAAGATGGGCCTGGTGCCACCAGCCTACCACACTATCAGAAGCAGTGACATTAATGGAGGACTATCTAGTGGCAGAGGGAGTACTAAAAGGGGACCAAGGAGGCCACCAAAGTCCTATTGCCCAAGCCAAAAGGGCTGAGACCAGGAGGACCGAGGGGGGAACCGGAGACGGTACCGAGTGGAAGACCAATCCGAACAGATAAAAGGAAGCTAGAGTCTGTGTGGCCCAGACCTCCAACCGGGAGCGAGGAGGAAAGACCCCACGCCCAGGAAAAAAGGGAAAGGAACCCCAAGAAAGGAACCCCACTACGAGGTATGTGTTTCCAGTGTGGGCAGGAGGGACACTACCAGTGGGATTGCCCCCGATGGACTGCACATTCGGGAACCTGCTAGTACACTCGGCCGAAGTGAGGGTTGGAGAAGGGACGAAGATAATGATACCCGTAAAAGTAAGGGGAATAGCAGTGAATGTGATGGTGGATATGGGCTGCGGGCAGACCATTGTCCGGGCAGACTTAGCAAAGGGAGATGACGCTAAGGGCAGCCCTGTGTGGATGCGCTGCATACACGGGCAGGGGCGAGTCTATCCCATGGCATGGGTCTGGCTGGATGATGGGTGCGTCGCCCAACAATGAAAGGTCATATTGGCCCCATCTCTGATTTACCCAGTCCTTCTGGGAAGAGATTGGCCGGGACTGGGAGCCGCCCTTGAGGTCTGGGGCAAGCGGGCCAAGAACCCCGAGGCGGCGTCGGAGACCAACCCTTGCAGCACCAGGAGAGGTGGAGAAAAGTGGGCCAGCAGGGGACTCCAGCAACAACCCGGTACCTAGAGGATCAGATCCAATTGATGGGATTCGAAATTTGGAAGTCGATGAGGGCGATTTTGTTCAACTGCAGCAAGAGGACCCAACACTACAAAGGGCCTGGGAGAAAATGAGAACCCGAAGGCGCCCCAGCCAGTTGGCCCCTACTTTGAAGTATGGAATGACCGCTTCTATTGGGTGGTGGACACAGTGGGGGAACAGGAAGGAATGCAGCAGTTAGTGGTGCCCATTCAATATACATGGAGGGTACTAGCCCTGGCCCACTCCAACCCGTGGGAAGGGCACCTGGGTCAGGAAAAGACTCAACAACGTGTGGTACAGCATTTCTTTTGGACGGGAATTTATAGGGAAATCTGAAAATACTGTTGATCTTGCCCCGAGTGTCAGCGAATGAACCCAGCAAGAGTACCGAAAGCCCCCTTAATAGCCTTCCCCATAGTCGGGGTACTCTTCAAACGAGTGGCATTAGACTGGTGGGGCCTCTAGAGAGGTCTAGCAGGGGCCACCAGTACATTCTGGTAGTTATAGACTATGCCACCTGTTACCCCGAGGAAGTACCTCTGCAAAAGGCTCCGGCCTTAGTGATAGCAGAGGAATTGGTAAAGATCTTTTCAAGGGTAGGGTTACTGCAAGAAATCTTGACAGAC